TAGATGACTCCAGCCAGATGATTGTCCAGTCTCCTCTTAAAGACCCTCAAGGTAGGGGAGAGCACCACCATGCTTGGAAGCCCATTCCACATTCTGGCAACTCTTACTGTAAAGAAGTTCTTCTTGATGTCTAACCTAGATCTGCTCTCCATCAGTTTGTAGCCATTGTTCCTAGTTACTCCAAGGGGTGCCCTGGTGAACAGAGCATGCTGCTCCCCGCTCCCTCTCGCCAATGAATTTATAGGCGGCCACAAGATCACCTCTCAGCCTTCTCTTGCAAAGGCTGAAGAGATCCAGGGCCCTCAATCTCTCCTCCTAGGGCTTTGCCTGCAGGCCTCTAACCATATGAGTGGCCCTCTAAAGGTTGTCCACATCCCTCTTGAAGTGTGGCACCCAAAACTGGATGCAGTACTCCAACTGCAGCCTGACCAATTCTGCATGAAGGGGAAGTATCACCTCCATGGACCTGTTTGTCATGCACCTGCTAATGTATGATAAAGTGCACTTGGCTTTACTGATTGCTTTGTCACATCGACAACTCATGTTCATCTTGGTGTCAACAATGACTCTGAGATCCCTTTCCACTGCTGTGCTGCTGAGAAGGTCCTCCCCGAGCCTTAAGCACACTGGTGATTCCTTCAACCTAGGTGGAGCACCTTGCACTTGTCCTTGTTGAACTGCATCCTATTCTGTTCTGCCTACTTTTCCAACCGGTCCAGATCTGCCTGGATTCGTTCCCTACCCTCTAGTGTGTTAACTTTACCCAATAATTTGGTATCATCTGAGAATTCAGACAGAGTGCTTTCCACATCCTCATCCAAGTCACTGATGAAGACATTAAACACCAGAGGTCCAAGGACCAAGCCCTCTGGGACTCCACTGCCCACATCTTTCCAGGTCGATACTAACCCATCCACCACCACTCTCTGAGTGTGACCCCTAAGCCAGGTTGCCACCCACCTAACTGTGTAATCATCTACATCACAGCTGCTCAATTTATCTGTGAGAATCAGATGAGATACTGTATCAAAGGCTTTCTTAAAATCCAAGTAGTTGACATCTACCTCAATTCTTGCATCTAAGCATTTTGTGACCTGGTCATAAAAAGAAACAAGGTTAGTCAGGCACGATCTACCTGCTACGATTCCATACTGGTTGCCCTTCAGCATTGTTTTTCCCACTGGACTCCCACAGATGTGATCCTGAATATTTTTTTCAAAGGTTTTCCCGAGGTTAGAGGTGAGACTAACCGGTCTACAATTACCCGATCCTCCTTCCTCCCCTTCTTGAAAATAGGGACCACACTGGCTCTTTTCCAGTCCCTCTGGGACCTCACCTGAGCATCACAAGCGCTCAAACAACCATGCCAGTGGCTCTGCTATGACACCGGCCAATTCCTTCAGCACCCTTGGAAGATCATCCAGGCCTGATTGACTTAAACACATTCAGCCCCTCCAAGTGTCCTTTCCCTAAGTTGATGCTAACAGTTGGTGGGCTGGTTTCCTTTTTGTGCCTGTGTATGATCCAATTGTTTTCAAGGACCAGGTGGATTGATTCTTTTTACAAAAAATGCCAATTTGTGAAAACTAAAACTTTTTCAGAAGCATTGGTTTTTCAGGATTAGCATGAATTAAAATTTAAACATATCCAATATCCACTCCTGGATTATAGTTTCATACCTCTAAATTTCCTACACTGATTTCTAGTCCTGGTCTTAGTGTTTCATTCATCATTTCATTAGGACGATTAAAAATTACTGACTAGAAATTTTAGCTAAGGAAAAACCACTACAATGGAGCCATTTGGCTGTTACAGGTGGCAAGGTTTCAGAAATACAAGTTTGACACATTATATTGTTAATATTGAAGTGATATTGTAGCCATGAGAGACCTGAAGAAGGGTAATGTGATACTTAAAAACATGTCTCAGTTTATCGCAACCATGCAGTTGTATCAATCAAATGTATCACCCACATGTTATATTGGACATTTCTTCTGGTGTTAAAATTATACCATTTTTATATATTCCTGCACTTTGGATCTATAGAGTTGAGATTAAATATTCTGGAGAGCAGAAGTGGGAAAAGTCCCATGAATAAGGAGGGCTTAAGATACTCCTGTGTTACTCCAGTTTCATGCTAATATGAAAACAACTATAGAGTTTTGCAGTAGTGCAAAAGATTTAGGATTTGATAAGTTATCTCATGCGTATGTATCAGTGTTGTGTGCAATTGGATTCTTGTCTCTCTGAAACTAAAGGACAAAAAGTGGCCAGAAAATTGAAGGAGAGGAGAAGGTACTGAGGTTCTAATAGGAATAAGAAATACCACGTAGTGGCAAGGTGTATCAGCAAAGGTTCTTTACCAGACTGTTCTCTAGCAAAGCGATAGACTCAGAAAACAATCTGCTGGGTAACTGTAACCACTGTAAAACCTTTTCTCTTTCCCACGCCATAATGTTGATCGTTAAGACCTGGATCAAGAGGTTTTCTGCTGCAATTTGTAAGCAGCATAGCATAGTTTAGAAGGAGCCTGGGGGAGGATTTTTTCTCTGATATCATAATCTTCTTCCACTGCTGGGGTGAAATAATTACTGAAAAACTTCAAAGGAGGACGTGTCTCTTCCCCATCTCCCCATCCTTCCTTTCCACTGGGTCACCTTTCCTGTCTGTCATATTCAGATGATAGAACCAAGGTACTACCCATTTTCTACCTGCCAACAGGGGGAGTGGTGCAGACTAGATATGCAGATCTAGCTGTATACCCCAGTGATCATTTTTATTACCATCCACATGGCAACACAGAGGAAAATAGAAGTGTTTTACCCCCCTAAGCAATGGTATAAGGATGGCCCACAACCTGACCCTAAGTTACTGTGTGCTTTACTCCCCCTCCTCCAGTCAAGTGCACAAAAGTAGCATCCAGCCATCCAACCTAAAAAGGTAGGTTAAAATTCTGTTGTGAGTGGATTTTAAACTTACCCAGAGCATTTGTATAACTTTGATCATTTCAAAGTTACTTTAAACAAATCTGGCACCATACCCATGTTCCTGTGGGGGTGGGGGTTGGATTTTAATGTTCTTTTTAGAATCCTGAAACAGGATCACAATCAAAATGCTAAAAACAAAGGACAGTGAAGAGAAACTACTTTAACCCTTCAACATATTTTTTCTTTTAGCAGCAAGAAGATCTGAGGGGGAGAATGGAAGTTTTGATCAAGATAAGAAGGTAACATTCAAATGATGCATAAAAATCCAACATAGTCTGTTAGTGTTTTTCTACTGTTTTAAAATGTTTTAATGAAGTTATCATTATTGATCATGCTAGACATTTTATAGTTCCAAATATGCATTCAGTCCTAAACAGATGTTTTAGAAATACGTAGCCCTTCCATTGTTATGACAAAATATAAGAATTACAGCAATCAGTAGTCCACTCATTTACTCAGTCTTCTAGGTCCAGTGGATGTTCTGGTTTTATTTAACATACCTTTTGTTAAATAAAAGTTATGATGAATAATGTGAATCATTAAAAAAAGAAGAAAGAAAAAGACCATGATCTGAAATGGAGAGAGCATTCGATTAACAACTTCAATTAATAAGAAGCCTATCTCCAACACACTGGGTGCATCTACATGTGCAATTAATGCAAATGAATAAATTCCAGCACAGTTTGTGCCAGATGTATTGCTCCTAGGCATTGCAGTGCTATCCTATGGCAGATACTCCATCCTAGTAGCACCACACAAGTAGAAGGTGGTATTTTACTTCAGAGTAAATTAGTCAACTCCACAGTAAACATCTCGTCCAAATGCACCCACAAAGATATTAAAAATTTCTAGTAGCTAGAAATTTGGGGGTATTGTTTAGGGAATTGTTTTATCACTTACCATTTTATTATAATAATTTATCTCCTTTATGATTTATCTTGTTTATATTCTGAGTGGCCCTGAGACTTTTTTGGGAGAGTGGCATATAAATCTAATTAATAAACTTCTAGCAAAGATTACCATGATGAATGCAATCTGTGTCTTTCACTCTTGTGACTCGGTGAATGATTGATACTGAATATCCCTCTACATAAAAATGTATCAGAGAAAATTCCCATGTTGGTGAATTTGTAGAAATAAATACACGTTAATACTGATCCTTGTTCTCTTCAGCTAAAGACCAGTTGGTTGATTCTGAAAGGAGAAATGGATGCCAGAACGAATTCACCAGATTCAGATACTCGGTCACTATCTCATGCTCCTGGAACTGACAGAGAACAGTTCCAGCAAACGCAAGAAAATGCAACCACTGTATATTCCCGTAAGTATTTAACTTCGGTGACTAATAACTTGACTAACTAGCCACATATTGTCATTCTTTGCATTGGGCCTTAAACCTATGCTCAGAAGTTCCTTCTTTAAAAAAAATAGAAATTCCTGGTTAATCTTTGTTATAGAAAGCTGATTTCCAGACAGTTCACTCTGAATGAGGCAAGGAAGGACATGCTCATCGAGACTAAAGGAACCTAAAAATTACTCTTAGTCCATAAGTCTGGAAGAGGTTGACAACTTTAAAAGAAACTACCTGTGAACAGCAACTACCCTAAGAGAAATCCTCCTGCAATACCAGGCTAGAGACACAGGTCACTTAGGGTAAAGGGTTTGGAGAAGCAATTTTCCAAAAGAATGCATTCAGTGTAAGGTATATGTGGCAGTGAAAATAATATGCCAATCATGTGGGTATTTTGGTAATGTGATAGCTAGCTCCATCAGCTCATATTATGGAAATTATGGCTTTGCTATACAAGGAAGGGGAAAAACAGATGCAGCAAAATTTGTCGCTAGGGTGTAAAGATGAAAGAAAAAAATAGTTCTGGATCTGAAAATTCCACTGAACAAAACCAAGAGGATTTTCTTTCTCACATGCCATCGAATGTTTCATAGAAAGGAAATGCTTCACAAAATACCCTGTGCTTGAAAAGTTAACTCCTAATGCTGCAAGCTCATAACATCCAGGCGCAACTAATAGTAATGAGTATACACAAGCTGTGCAGGCTCCTAGTTGTGTGTGGCATGTGACACGAGATGGATGATTATTCTGTATGAGCAAAATACTATATCATAGGTTTCTTCATGCAATTGTCAATGGTCCTATTGTTGTACTGCAAGTCACTCATTTTTCTTCAATTTTCTAATCACACATGAAGTGTGGAACCATAAAGATCAGAGATAAAAAAGAGTCCCTGGTTTAGAATGTCCCATCTGTCAATGAAAAATTTCTCGTTGGGTGACATTATCAGTGTCTTGCCGAGTGTCCTAAGTGAGGGCTTCTACAATGTACTTTAGGATTTATCAACTAAAAAGCTATGACATGTAGGACTTTTTTTCCCTTGCTATTCAGCTTATTTTTCCTTTCTTGTTAATGTTATCCAGTTGCTCCTATGCCTTTTTTTTCCTGCCAGCCTAAAATCTTTTCTTTCCTTCAGTATAACTTCCACTTTTTACAACTACCTGAAGGGTGCTTCCAAAGAGGATGGAGCTAGACTGTTCTCAGTGGTGGTAGGTGACAGAACAAGGAGCAAATGTCTCAAGTTGCAGCAAGGGAAGTTTAGGTTAGATACTAGGAAAACCTCTCTCTCTTTTAGAGGGCAGTAAAGCACTAGTTTTCCAGAGAGGTGGTGGAATCTCCATCCTTGGAGATTTTTAAGACCCAGCTGGACAAAGCCTTGGCTGGGATAATCTAGTTGGCGATGGTCCTGCTTTGAGCAGGGGGTTGATCTAGATGACTTCCTGACCATCCCTTCCAACCTTACTTTTCTATGATATTTTCTATGATTCTATGATATGTGAAGGTTGCCAAGTGTCCTATTAGTCATTGCTTAGCTAATCCTACCTTCTTTCTTTGGTGAATAGGAGGCAGGCAAAACATTAGCCCTACCCCTCAATCTGATTAGTTGCTCAGTGTGGCTGGAGTGCCAGTGGAAATAACCTATGCCAGGCATAGATTTGGCACAGGTTACTTCCTTCACACAGCAAGGGGGAACTGAGGCTCTTGAGAGAAACTCTCTGAGATAGAAAAGGCTCTCTGCTTTCTTCAGATCTGCTTCTGGGCAAGGGCAACAGAGCACTCCTCATTACAGGGCTTGTAGTAAGCCACAATTGAAGCCTTGAGTAGCTAGGCATCATAGGGTACATCCAGATGAGTGCGTGCATGCAGTATGTGGTGCCACAGACCCATCTGTAGTGCCGTACATTGCACATGCTGCATATGCAGGCATTCCCCACACTGTTAATTTGCACCACAGGGGCATTTTTTGATAACAGGAAATCCTGGTGTCAAAAAAGCCCACAGCACAAAAAATGGGGCCTTGCAAATAGTGGCAGTGTACACCACCTGAAACCAGGAACCTGGCTGACTGGAGCCACACTCTGGCTGCCAGCAGGCTCGCTGCTGCCAGATTGCCACTGCTGGAGCCCTAGGAGGCTCCCAGGACCCTAGGTAAGGCTGCTGGGGCCAGCCCAGGTACTGGCAACAGCCTCCTGTACCCCATCCAGGGCAATGTACTGTGTGCCAGAGAGCACGTGCACAGGCTTTCTCCAGGGACAAGGAGCAGCAGCACAATATGTGCTGCTGCTGTTTGTCCCCAGGAAAATGCACAAGCCTGCACATCTGGATTCAGCCATAGTGACTATCACTCTACTAAGTCTCATATCCATTCTCTTACACATTATACTTTGTCTGAAATAACATTGTCAATCTCAAACCACAGCAGTAACATGTTCCAGCAAGACCACCGCTGAGCATGGCTCTCATCCACTCCCTCTTCCACGTGCCAAACCTGGAAAATACACCCATGAGGATACTTCAAAGGAATCCCTATGTGGTCATCATCAAGCCCTTGATGTACTTAAGAGGGTCCACTGAAGATGACCTTGAGTAGCCTACCCAGCACATTACTAGTTTTGGCATGTGCAAGTGGGTGTGGGTGGATGATTGCAGTTTTGGGGCATGTGAGCAGGCCAGGCTTGGCATTATCCTTACCAGGTCATCAACAACCAGGGGTGATGTGTAGGGGTGCAAGTGGGTGCATGTGCACCCCCTGAGTGTGGTGATGCACCCCCTGAAAAAAGGCGCCGCTGACAATGGCGGTCACCACTCGTCACCCCACCACTGACACTGCCCACGGTGTCTGCAGGCAGTCAACGATAGCCCCTGGCCACCGCCACCTTTGCTGGTAGCGCCTGCGGGTGGTCGCCCACCCCTGGTCAGCACTCACCACCCCGCATCCCCCCCACCGCCCACTGGCAGTGCCGGCAGCATTTGCGGGAACTCCATGCTTACCGCCACCATGCTCCTGCCGCCACCATGCCCCCCCAGCTACCGCCAGCACAGCATGGCCCCCCAGCCACTGGGGACACACGCCGTTCATGGTATAAACATATTCTTAGCTCCCATTGAGCTCTTTGTGGGAGAAAATTTGTTTGTAAAGTTTCAAAATTACTTTGCAAAGCTGCAGAGAAAGCTAGAGCATTAGCCATTTACCTTATGTTCATTCCCAACTTTTGGGTATAGTTAGGAAATGGCTTGCAATCCTTACTACCTTATTTGGTTATATCTGTGTAAGTGTATACAGTTGTCTGGGGCAGACTCAGACATTGCTGCCAGCAATGACTAACTCCCTTCTGTGCAAAACATTTCCTCCATTCAGAGCTCATGGGCACTGTGGGTGCCAATGTTGTTTTAAGCCATCCCTTGTATTGGTGTTTTGTTTAAGATTGATTCATTCTCCAAGGCTGTATTTATCCTTTCTTGAGAATTCTTAATAGACATCATGCGGCTACAGTAACTTGGGCATACATAGGCATATTATGTTAAGTACATAGCCGCATGTATAACATGTCAAGCTCACGTACTAAATCACTGTACATCCATCTCTTGTGTATTTGAACTTTTCTTCTAAGGGCAGTTACACTTCTGTTTTGAAAGATCAATGTTAATTACAAAAGCTTATCCACTCAAAACACAGTATCAATAAATGGTTCAATATAAATGGTTTGATGATTTATTTAAATGCACTTCCATTCATTTAAAATAGCAGGCCTAAAGGAAAGCAACAGTTACTATCTCTTTAAGAGCAGACTTGCTGTATTGTGATAGTGCCCTTGATACTGGGCTCTGTCATTATGCTAAAGAAGATCTATAAATGATTGGCTGAATGATTAGTTTAGGGTCATTTCCCACCATTTCCTGCCCAGATTACCCTTACTTTTAAAAAGAGGCAAGGATTTTTTGGATGTAATACCTTTTATTGGTTGGAATAAAGTTGGAATAAAGTTAGACAGGCTTTCCAATGCAACATGTTCTTCATTGGGCCCTGATAAAGACCTGATGAATATTGCATCAGGTTGTCATGAAGACCTGATGAAGAATGCCTTGCATTTGAAAGCTTGTGTAACTATTCCAACTACATAATTGGTCCAATGAAAGATATTGCCCCAAAAATCCTTGCCTCTTGCATAATTCATGGATCATCATGGCTACAATATGGAAAGCTGGGGAAGTGGGGGGGAAGTATTACAGCAACACCCAGCACAGGACCTAGCACAGGACCAGAGCCTTGTTGTGGTAGGCACTAGGGCTGTGCGAAACACCATTGTTTTGTTTCGACGTCCATTTCACTGTTTCAAAGGGACAGTGTTTCGTTTCATCATTTCATTTCATTTTGAAGTACTGTCTTGTTTTGTTTCGTCGAAACTGTTTTGCTGTTTCGATGTTTTGCCTATAGGCTATAGTGGGGAATCATGAAAATGGCTAGAACTTTATCATTTCTTGCCTGATTCAGATGAAAATTGTAGGGATGGTAGCCCCTTCTGAGGGCATGAAGCCTGCCAATTTTCAAGGAGATCGGTGTAGAGGTTTCTCATAAACTGCACTTCAAACTGTTCAAAGCAAAACTTGTGACAAGTGCCAGCAGCAGCAGCCTGCTGTCATCCAGCTCGCATCCCCGGGAGGGCTGTGGGGCTGCGCTGGACTCCTCCGGGTGGTGCAGGCCCCTGGATCTGCGTGCCGGATGACAGGAGGCTGCTGCTGCCATCTGGAACCAGCAGTGGGAACAACCCACACCCAGCGCCGTGGAAGACTGATGCTGCCGCTGGCCCCAGGCAGCAGCAACAGCCTCCTGTCATCCGGCACGCAGATCCAGGGGCCTGCACCCCGGGAGGGCTGCAGGGCTGTGCTGGACTCCTCCTAGGGGTGCGGGCCCCTGGATCTGCAACTTCCTGTCATCTGACCCAGTGGTGGGAGGCAGGGGAGAGCCAGGG